ATCTCGGTTTAGAAATACAAGGTAGCATACCAGAGGCCCCCTCCGGCCCTCTCCCTGCTCAGGAATCGTGTCACCCCGTAGCACCTGGGCTGTCTCCATTGTCCACATTTCCAGAGGCTCCAGAGGCTTGTTCTTCTTCTTCTTCTTTTTTTATTTTTTTTCCAAGTTCATGACATCAGAACTGCATGGAATGAAATTACAACCTGGAAGTTAATTAACTGAGGAACAAAGGGAGCGTGCATCCCGATTTCGGAGAGGAAAAAAAAGCAGTAAGCCAGGAGTCAGAGGATCTGGTGTTCTAATTCGCACTTTTACTAAATTATTTGAGCATAAAAATAACTAGAGACTGCCTTTTAGGTCTTTTTGTAATACTAAAGTCAATGTGCGAAAGAAATGCAAAACGGCTTTGTTAGGGGTCTCACGTGTTAGAGCAAGTTGATGAGCCCACTGATCGGACCCTTTACTGCCCTAAACTAGGTGCTTGCCTGTTCTTTCCATGGTCCCCAAACAACTGTCTCAACCCGGTGCTTAGTGACCTCCTTGGAACCCCAGAATGTCCATGGACAGGGACTTAATAGCTCATTGCAATTAGCCCCTCATTTGGTGGACAACGACCTAAGTATAGAGAGAGCCAAATGATTTGCCCAGAGTAAGAAGTAGAGCCACCGTGGGTCTCAAGTTCATTCAGGGCCAGCTCCTAGCAAACTGCACCACACTGATGCTAAGATAGAGCACCTTGATCTATTGATGTTTCTTGGATACCTTCCATGTCAGGGCCCTCAGAGAACAGTCAGTCAGTCAGTCATCACGTATTTCTAGAGCATCAATTGAATGTGTTGCACTGTGTTCATTCCTGATAAAATACCAAGAACTTCAAAAACACATGACAACACACAAGAGTTGCTACAAGATAGTGACACTGAGCGTGCATTAGCTATCTACTGCTGCATAACAAATTACCCCAAAACCTAGCAGCTTAAAATATCAGACCTTTGTTAGCTCCTAGTTTCTGTGGGTCAGGAACTGGCATGGCTGAGCTGGACGCCTCTGGCTCAGGGTCTGTCTCTCCGTGTAGTCAAGCTGCCAGCTTGAGCTGTGGTCTCATAGGAAGGCCTAACTGGGAGACAGCGGGGCTCTGAGTTTACTCATGTGGTTCTCGGCAGGATTCAGTTTTTAATGGACTTTGGAAAATAGGGTAAGAAGCTTGTCCTACATCCTTCAGTCAACAGGAAACTCCAAAGGGTTTCAGCAAAACATGGCTCAGATAACAAGTGTTTTTAGAAGACCGATCTGGGGACTGTGTGCAGGATGGACTGGAAAGTGAAAAGACAGGAGGCAAAGAGCCCAGCAGGCAGTTTCAAAAAAAAAAAAACACACACACACACACAAAAATTTAGTGCATCTATGTGCCAGGTGAGGTACTAAGATACTAAAATACTAAGAGACTATAAGATACTAAGACTATAAAGATACTTAAGATATGGTGGTTATTCTCAAGAAGCAGGATGGCAGCCATATTCCAGGTGACAAGTGGCAAAGCCTGAATTAGAGTGGTCACTGGGGAAATAAAGATGAAGAGACAGATGAAAGAAAGTGATGATAACATGGCGAGGCAGGAACGGGTGGGTCCAATGGGGTGTTATCTGTGAGGAATGAGAGAGGATAATGCCAGGCATCCGAACCAGTTGGAAACATGGGTGTCCCCGAGATCAGCGGTCCCTAATCTTGTTGGCACCAGGGACCGGTGCTCCTATGAGAGTCTAATGCCTGATGATCTGAGGTGGAGCTGAGGCGGTGATGCTAGCGCTGGGGAGCGGCTGCAGACACAGATGAAGCTTTGCTGTCTTGCCTGCCACTCACCTCCTGCTGGGTGGCCCGGTTCCTAACAGGCCATGGACCAGTACCAGCCTGCAGCCTGGGGCTTGGGGACCCCCGCCCCAGAGGATGGCTACCATGCTTGGGAGGCTCATCGCCATCTAGTGCTCAGCCTCCTAATCTTGGTCATGACTTTTCAAGGGAGCTGTTATTATTCCCATTTTTTCAGATGAAGAAATAGATTCAGTGAGGTTAGGTCCCCCAACTGAAAAGTGTCAAGGAGAGGAAACCTAATAATTGGCAGTGGCTTCAAGTGTTTGCTCTCCCCTGTCCACGAGTATTTAACAAGATCAGATTCTTAGCCTCGAGGAAGGAAACCTCGAAATTCTGGGGCTCACCTATGAGGAGAGAAGGAAGCCTCTGAGCAGGGGAATTTCTTAGCCCTTCTGCATTGTTATCCATAAGTTGTCTCTTTTGCCCACTCATAAAGCTCTCCCTACCTTCTTGAATTAACTCTACTGCCCTCTGTCTCCATCTTGACTCAGAATTCCTCAGACATATTGATAAAGATTCCATTTTTTTTTTTTTTTTTTAACTGGGCACTTAGATTATACAGTAAACTCCAGGTAAGCAAGGACTTCCCTCTTTGGGGATTTCCTTCCCAGGCTGAGGATGGTGCTTTACCACTGATGGTTACTGCTAGTTACCAAATAGCTGGCAAGCCATACACTCAGCACCGTCTACAATGAAGGTCACCAATGTGAGAAATGACAGAAGCAAAATGGGAAACGTTCTCCCTAGGCTTGGCTGCTGGACTGGGATCTCCAAGAAGAAACCATTCTTTAAAAGCCTAAAAACAATCACATTTTATCTGATTATAAGTGTAACATATATGCATTATGAAAAATGCAAAAAAAAAAAAAAAAGACATCACTCATCATCCCACAAAGAAGACAAAAATGTAGCATCGAAATGAGTCTTTAAGATCTGCGTGATAGCACTGCGTTCATCGGTGCCTGTGTGTTTGCACAAGCCACCTATGCCTGCTTGTCTGCAAATCTAGGGGAATAACTGCAGGGCTTGTGGATTGTATAAAGATGATTGCAAACCCATCAAAGAGAGCTTTTGTTTGTATGCAACTCGTGTAAGAGTAAATATCCTGTAACTGCTTGTGTATAATGCAAGGGAGAAAAACCTGAGTTGATGGCTATTGGCTAACATACAGATCATACTCTACTGTCTTATAATATGTTCTCTGCATAGCTTTTTAAAACATTTTTCATATTCCATGCCCCATCTCATATCACATTAACCCAAATAAAAATGTCATTATCCATTCAGTTCGACAGACAGCAGGCAGAGTGTGGTAGAAAATTACAATCATGCCAGCCAGCAACAAAGAATTCTAGTCACAAGCACGTAGAGGAACTGGTGGGCAGCTGGTCCAGCCCCTCTTTTGCACTGTCCAGGCATACGACTGGGTTCAGTATGGGTGAGCCCCTCTTTATACACAGAGCATGCTTCTGAAGGGTTGTATGTAAATCAAATTTTATGTTGCATCCCATTTTTGTAACTTAAGGAAGCTTCAAGCTTGATATCTGAAGAGACTTCCTTTTAAACAGTATTTTTTTTTTACCACGTTACTTATCCCCCTAAAATAAATCTACAAGATATTTTTGCATATGGAATTTTATTAAAGCAGAGTTTACTTGTACCATTAACTTTATGAAAATAACGGAAAGACTACAGCCAGCGAAACCAGTCATAGAGCTGATTCATGGAAAAAGACCTTGTGAACCTCAATATTTGCCTGTGTTATGTGTCTTCCAAAAAAGTCAACATAACCTGGCTTTGTGATTGACGAGCAAGGAAATGGTCTACTTAGCATTTACGGTATTGCAGCTGAAATGCCATGTTCCCTGTGTGGAGCCGCCTTTAAGAAGTGACATACCTGTAGTAGATAATGTTTTAGAACTTTTCCCAATGCCTTGAGACTTTACGAGCAAAGAGTGGGCTTTATGTAATCATTAAAATCCAATCATTCATTTATCCATTCATTCATTCAACAAATAATTACTATGTGCCAGGCACTGTTCTAGGTGCTGAGGACACAAAAATGAGCAAACGAACAAAAATCTTCCCTGCTCTCGGGAGCTTACATTCTAGTGTCAAAAAGGTGAAATCCAAACATAGATAACACTTCAAAATACATTTTCCACAAGAAATGCTCAGGACAATGTATGACAGCATGTTGCTTTAGCTATAATGTTAATTCTAGAATGCACACTTGTTAAAATGAGTCCCCTCAGCATTTCCAATTTGGTTGTTCAAACATACAGTGGGGGCTGATGCCCGCCAGGCTCCACAAAGAATTCCACCTGCTCCAGCCAGCCTGTTGGGGCCAAAGTGGTGGACAGCCAAAACTGAGGTTTAAAATTCTTGAAGTTGGATAAGTAGTTACGCGAACGTTCGTAACATCATTCTATCTCTGTTTGTGTGTATGTTCGAAATGTTACATAATAAGAATATTTTAATCTTAAAAAAAAGAAATTCAGAAACTGTCCTGTGTGGGCATAGGAGGCCTCTTGAAGTCAAGAAGGGTTCTCTTGCATTTAAAGGTTTAAACGATTTAAGCAGAAATCACCATCCATCAGAAATGTCTTAACAATGATTTTTATCTTGAATAAGAAGTTGAAATAAACGACCTTGGCTACCTTTGGCTCATAAGATTCTATATTCTAGTGCAAGATCTAAAGTATAATTGGAACCAAGCAAACATGGATTTGGGCTAATTCCAAAGATGGTACATATGGATTGTGGTCTGTTTACTCTCTAATGCGAACCAAATGTCATGAAATTGAGTGCAGATTCTCATCTCTGCCTCAGCACTTAATGATCATTTTCATAATTATTTCACAGTATTTACTCTAAATCCTTTCTTCTTTTTACTTCTAAAAAAAAAAAAAAAGATTGCTTAAGCTAAAATAGACATTTATAGCTACTGTATTTTGTGATGCCTGTGAATTTTAGCCCTTCCTCTTCAATCTTACTTAGCTGCACAAAAGTTACCTTCAGTACCATGTCCATTTTCCCAGGAAGTACCACACATAACCTCTTTATCTGCAGCTAATTTCGGGATGCTCCCTGCATGGTGTCCTAATTACACCTTTGTTATCCGCCATCAGATGATTCCTCTAATCAACCAAGCCTGCGACCTTCTCCTGACTCATTTAAAACACGATGCGGAACGTGGAGACGCTGTCGACATCCAGAGGTAAGGGCGCCACATGGCTACGTTGCAGACAAGAAATTGCACTGTTGAATCGCTTCTTGTAGCAGCGCACAATTGCTGGACAATTACCTCGGGACCAGCAAACTATGGCAATGCTAGAAGCTCATAAAAGCATGGGTGGACTGACTCGTAAGTAGAAATGAAACCCGTACAAAATGTGAAGCGAACGTGAACAGAGCCCAGGGGAGCTGTGGCCTGCTGAGGGAAGCCTTGAGTGGACAGTGGTTTGTGGATGGACTCCCCCTCTGACCTCTGCAGACCTAGGGGGTGGGCAGGATGTGCCGGGGCAGAAAGGACGGGGTCCTGGTATAATTAAAATTGTGGCGCACCTCAGCCTGGAAGCCACGACTTAGTGGCGCACACCAAATTTAAATGACTGATGATCTGGCTTTTCTCTCAGTTGTCTGATGCTCAATTATGGTTTACAGCACATTGGGATAGGGTGGGATTGGCGAATCAGCCAGAAGCCGACGCGTTCTTATTATCATTGCTAATAAAATAATAACATAATCATCACCAGCTTTTAAACTCCACCATATTGTTTACAAAACCCTCTCGTACACATACTCCCTGGTCATGAGATGTGTGAGTTGGCTACAGATGGGCACAGTAGCTATCAAAGCAGAGTCAACTCTTAAAACTCTTAAATCTTCGACCACATTCAGTAGTCAAATTGTTGTTTTTGCAATAGCAGGGAAATGCGTAATCAATTGTAGAAATGTTTTCAATAAAAGCAGTCAAAATAAGTCATCTGGAGATGTCATTTATTCTTTATCATTAGTTGTTGGTTATAGAGTTTATAAAGAAGAGGAACTAAGTGTGTCCCTATATCAAGCCACAAAAATAGACTTTTTAATTACAAAAAGGATATGCATACCCGGTGGTTAGCCCTTTTGGGGATAACTTAACCTGACCACTCCTATGAGCTAATGAAAAAGGACCATTCCAGTTTAAAATGGCCATGTGGGGGGCAAGTTTCCTAGAGTCTGAGAGGTTCATTTCTCTGGAGCTACTGCCAGACACTTTTCCTTCTGTTTGTTTCTAAAGTACGATGTGTGCTTTCTGTAATAATATAATATGTTCATGAAACTGGTCCCAAAGTTTGTCTTGTATTCTTTATGTGAATGTGAAGGGCTCTGGTTTTTTGTCTGTTGCTCTTACGAAAACTATAACATCATCAGAAGGAACATGGGGACAAAGCTACTACAAATAGACAATTGTTCATTCATCAATCACGATTTGCTCCATATCAATTGATCATTAGATCCTGGCTTTGGGTGGGCTCCGCACAGCTTTGAGGTAATGCGCGTGGGTTTTGGATCAACTATTTTCCCTCCTTCTTGGGGAGGAAAATTTAAAGCGCACTTCCTGGCATTTGCCCGTGTCTGTCCAAAGCCTGAAAGTCGAGTGACGCTCCCCTGCCCTTCGCAGTCTACGCCTCGATCAGCAACCAGCTGTCTTTTATGTCTTCTCTCGCGTTCTGCTGTCGCTGCTCAGAGGGTCTAATCCTGGTGGTTCTTCCCCGGGCTCCTCACGTCGGACCTGCAAGAAGCTCCCCCGTCGAGCAGGTGGACGATGGAGTCTGGGTCTCTCCGGGGGTGTGTACGATGAGTGGGCCAATGGTGGAGTCCTTTCGAAATCAAACGGTTCCCTCTCTCGTAGGTGCTACAGCTGCTACAGCACAGATGTGGTGGCCAGTGTCGCCTTCGGCACCCAGGTGGACTCCCGAAAGGCTCCTGAGGACCCCTTTGTCAAGTACTGCAGGCGTTTCTTTGCCTTCGGCATCCCCAGACCTCTCCTGGTTTTCATCGGTATGTACAGCTCCTGCCAAGGGTGGGGGACACTGGGCTACTGCCAGGTGGGCAGACCCCGGGATGCGTGGGCGGGACCCAGCCTCTGCCATAGGAAAAGGGACTTGGGGTGTCACTGGGAGTTGCCCTGCGGAGTCCACCCTGCAGACGTCTTGATTCCTGGAGCTACCCAGGCTCTTCTCATTCCCAGCCTGAGGCCCCTTCTCACCAACACGGGTGGCCTTGGCCTCTCACCACTGCCATGAGTGTTTTGATGCATTGCCTCAGTCAGTGCTTGTATTCATCCTATGGAAAGTTTTCTCGCCCCCATTTTACAGATGGGAAAACTGAGGCTTAGAAAGACAGATCCAAAGCCTTTCATTTTTCAGGGCATATTTCTCCCCGCTAGCAAAACCGTCTGCAGAAGACTTCTCTGCGTGAGGCCCAACGCATAGTAAACCAGAAATCGCATGTGATGGGGTAACTAATAGGTTACACACAGCTGTGGAGACCAGTTGATTTTTTTTTTCTTTTTTTTTTTTACTTTTAGAAGTGAGTTTTTACCCTGCCCAGTTCTAGTATCTTCTTGCTTTTATGGAAATATTAAAGCATTGTTTTTATTGTTATTAATTATTGCCATAATTTCCAACCATTTGCTGGGCTGGTGAATTCTATTCATTCCTTGGTCAGTTTCATTTCTGTTTCTGAGTCAGTTTCTGTAGAAGCCCCTGTCACATCCATCCGCTGGGCACTGAAATTGTAGGAGGAGTTGCTAAGGGGATCAAAGCAGCCTCCTCCTTCGGCCCTCACCCCTCCACCCAGGGGAGCTGTTCCAGCTGAGGGGGGCTCTCTTGCCATCAACCACGGGGCAGGCAGGTGGCTTCGTTCTGTGTCCTCGTCCCTGCTGCCACTCTGAGCCTGCCTCCCCACTGTGACACGCTGGTCCAGGCCCCATCTCTTGAAAATGGGCAGAGCATCCTGAAACCTCCATGGGTTCAGAACTGTCCCCCGAGCCCAGCTTCCACACAGCACCTGTGCACAGCAGGTCCACTGTGTATGCCGAGAAGCTGAACTGAGTCGAGCTCCCCTGCCACCGCCCTGACCCGGTTAGCCCTGTCCCAAGAGCATGGCGGCGATGGCCCAGGCTGCACATGGCACAGCAAGGGAGGCGCCCACGGGGAATGGGGCCGTCATCCTTGTCAGCTGCTGCAGCCTCAGCTCTGAGGGACGATTCAGATGGTAGCTCTGGGGACAATTATCCAGTGGGGGAAAAAATGCAAATGACCAGAAAGTTAAGAAAATAGATCAGCTTCCGCCACTTGCTAAGACTTGAAACATGGCCTGCACTCTGTTCTTTCTTGAAATACAAAGGGTTTGGACCCTCATATCTAGGACCTGGGAAATGAATTGATAAGCACGAGACTGACTTCTCAAGGGCCAGATGGAAGGCGGGATTCAGTTGCACAAACGCTTATCGAGTGCTCACGAGGTGCAAAGAACGGTGAGGAGTCCAGAGGTGGAATAAGATACAGCCCCTGCTCTGAGGAGCAGCAATTCAAAGGGGAAGACGGGCCTTCCAATGACTCTAATTCAAGGCCAGGGTTTGCTTCCTGGCAACAGGCATCTAATAGCCTCGGTTTATTATCACCCCCTTTTCAATGCCACTTTTGTTTTTCTCTTTCAAGTATCATTTCCATCCATAATGGTCCCACTGGCCCGGATTTTGCCCAATAAGAACCGAGATGAACTGAATGGCTTTTTTAACAAACTCATTAGGAATGTGATTGCCTTGCGGGACCAGCAAGCAGCAGAAGAGGTAACGTGTTTTAATAGGACACAGCTTCGAAATGGAATGGAACCTAATTTGGCATCGCTGTCTCTTTTCTCTCTCTTCCTCTCATACCACGCCGTGCTGTCCTTTATTGGTCTACCACTTAGAGCTTTCTAGGGGCAGGAAAAATAAGAAACTCTGGGGAGGGGCGGATAGGAAGGAGAGAGTGAGGGCAGGTGGGAAGCACAGTGGGGAGAAGCCCAAAGCAATCTGTCTCCACTCTCACATGGGCGAGTAGAAATGAAGCTGCCCCCAAACTCATGGCCTATTTCAAGCTTCGCCCCTGGCACAGGTTATAGCAGCCCCCCAAAGAATTTTCTAGGTAAATGTGCCCACGTGTACTTTCCATCAGCAGATTCTTTACATTGAAAAATGGCAAGAATGGAGTTTTATAGCATGAACGGCATTAATATTTGAGAATTTAGGCAGCTGTCACCAATTCCACGTTCTTCTTCAGCACCGAAGATGTTGCTACAAAATTTGTGTTTGGGGGCCCTCCCCTGCTTCACCTGAGACCTAGGGATTTCTTTCACCCTTACAGACTTGCACTATGCTTGGCACGTAGTAGGAATCGATTGAACTTGGCTGAGAATAGAAATAGACATTGTCAGTGTTAAGAAAAATAATTTCAATATTGGATACGCTGACACGTATGCAATGTTATTATGCTTTAAGGGCTTTGTTGCATTCAAGAAAGTTGCTTAAAAGGAAAAACAAGGCTGAAATGTATTATCCAGAATTGACCCAGACAAAATCTAGCTTTAAAAGCATTTCCTCAAAGGCTGGGTGGCTCAGAGGAATTAACAAGGGGTGGGGGGTCCAATTGTTGCAGCCTTGGCCGAGAATAAAATCAGGAGTCGAGGAGCTGCTGGCTGCACAGAGCAGCCTCACCCTGCCCAGCTGCGTCCTCGGGAGACTGTGCCGCAAAGCTGTCCAGGTCCAGAAGCGGGGGAAGGTGTATAAAAGGTCATGGCCCCTTGGGCCGCACCACTGTGAACTCAACGCGATGCCCTTGGAGGTGTGAGGAGAATCAGCTACCTGGTACCCCTGGCCCGGCTCTGTGGCCTAAAAGGACAGAACTCTCGTTCAGGTTCAGGGAGGGGTGAGGAAAGCCCCATTTTCGAATCTCAGTGTTGCTAGAAAGGGCTTCCGTATGGGTGTTTGGTCACTCGCACCCCCACTCTCCACCCCACCTCAGCCTGACACCCACTGGCTATGGAGTCAGGCTGAAAATTCTGAAACTGTTGCGCCAAATGGCTTACTAAGAGGTGAGGGGTTATTAAAGATCCAATTACTGGGATTGCCTGGAGCTTTTTCCTTTTATAAACTCGAGAGCTATTTGTTTCAAACAATGAGTTGATCTGAGAAAAGCTTCCCAACCACAAATCCAGGACCGCCTGTGTCAAGACAGAGCTATACGGTTACTAAGAAAACTTGCTTTAAACCCATCTAAACTCTGTAGACATTCCATCAAGCAGATGTGTGTTTGCGCAGTGGAAAATGCAGCACAGATGTTAAAAGGTAAATATTTTTCTAAGCTCTAGCCGATGGGTGGATTAGACACCTACATCTATCAGGGTGCGTATTTTTCTTGGATATAACCATAAACCAGCACTGTTTCGGTCCTAAATGGGCAGTCTTTAAATAGCCTCCGTGATGCAGTGCGAATACAAGAAACCCATCTGCACTAATGCTCCTCTCCAGGCACAGGCCCTAGAGAGCAGCCCTTTTTTTCTGGCCTCTGCAACTGGAGGTTAAGACGGATTTCTCTGAGCCTAGATGGCCCTGTAGCAGCCTGTCTCAGCCAGCTGCAGTTCTGCCACTGGAAAAATCCAACAGTGTGGATGTGGCCACGCCGTCTCTTTCATCATCACCCTCACGGCACTCCAGAAAAGCCACCAGGAGGCCTCAAGGACCACAACTGTCCCCGGGGTGGGGGCGGGTGGGGTGCAGACACTTGCACTCCGATGGAGGGAAAAAAGCAACCCCACTTGAAATAACGATCTTCAAGGATGGAGTTAAGTGCTAACGTGTGTGGCGTAGATTATTCATGCAACAGAAATCCGGAAGCCAATGAATTGAGAAAATGCTACAACAAATAAAGGAATCTGAAATTATAATATTTTCTGCCGGTGGTTCTGATAGTCTCCGTTTGCTGTTTAGGCCCATAAACTTCAGAAAAAAAAAAAAGTCACATATTGGTTGTCACTCATCACATTAAAAAGCTTTTCAAAGAAGGGATATACTTTGTCAAGGCTAAAGCAATGCAGAAACCTTCTGTGGTTACAAGCAGTGATAGTAAAAATACAAAGAATATGCAAATTGCTGATAAGGAACGTGGGGGGTGGAATGGGGTTATACATCTTTAACCACCTAAATGGGGTAGGGGATTAAAGGGAGCTAGGCTAAGGGATGCGAGATGCAGACTGGACACTCAGAAGACAAGCTTCTCCACAGCTAGTCCCCTCCCCTGCCCCCAGATTCTGTTAACTTCCTGCTGTATGAGAAAAATATAGAAGCCCTGAGCTGTGCAGACGTGAACAATGGAGCATGTGCTTTGACTTAAATCTATACGGTTTTCATCGTTTTAGTGTTGGAAAACCAACCAAACCAACCAACCAACAGTACGAACATGGATAAAGTAAAAATTACAAGGCCCCTGGTTTACTCAGCTCCTCCAGCTCACCGTGGAGTATGGATGTTGCTAAAGATTTTTCCAGGCGCGGACGAACACGCGTAATTATGTATCTCGTACATTTACTGTTTACAGAACTGGGCACACCGTTCTGCAACTTGCTACACCGTTCTGCAACTTGCTCATTTTGGCTTACCGAAACGGCTTCCCATCTTTCTGACTCGGCCCAGATAGAAGGGCCACATTCTTTTTAATGGCAGCATGGCAGTCTCTCTTTGCTGCACCAGTCTGTGAACCAGTGGGGACTGAGGGACATTCGGCGGGGGGGAGGGGGTTCCAGGTTCTCGCCGTCTCAGATCACCCCGCAGTGAGAATCTTTGTTCCTGTCCAGCTCTTTTAAAAGCTCCACGTGCATGTCTTTTGTGCTCTAAGACTCACTTATGCAACTCTAGGGCCAAAATGTGCAATTTCTTCTTTTGTCCCTTAGAGGCGGAGAGACTTCCTCCAAATGGTCCTGGATGCCCGACAATCCACCCCTTCCGTGGGCGTGGAGAGCTTCGACATAGTCAGACAAGTCTTCTCATCCTCCGAATGCTCAGCGAATCCTTCCCAGCAAGGCCAGCCCAGACCCCTGTCCAAGCCCTTGACTGTGGATGAGATCGTGGGCCAGGCCTTCCTCTTCCTCATCGCCGGCTACGAGATCATCACCAACACACTATCTTTCGCCACCTACCTACTGGCCACCAACCCTGACTGCCAAGAGAAGCTTCTGACAGAGGTGGACCGTTTCAACGAGAAATATGTGAGTACAAGTTGGGTCCAGGGCTCCATGTGAAATCCACACAATTGATTTTATGTTCGTCGACGTGAAACCTATTTTTGATAACGGCCTTGCTAAATTCACGTTCTAAGTTCTTAAGGTGAAAGAGGACCGTTGCTCGCCTACTCCATCTCTCTGGGTTAGAAAGTGCGATGGAATGTTCAGGATAACAGAAAAAAAAGAAAGTTGTGCACGCGCCTTCACTGTTTGGGGTGGTCTATGAAACCAGGCCTGGCTCGGGGAAGCTGCAAAGCCTTCATGAGTCAGGGTCAAAGGTCAGAGGTGGGGCAGGCGGTGTGGTTTCTCAGTGCACTGACTGTGGAGTCGCCATGCTCAGGGAAGCAGGTCTGATTCAGAAAATGGAGCCAATTAAGAGGCAGGAGTGGGCAGAAGGATGGGCCAGGCGTGCAGGTTGGATGAGCACAAAGAAGGGGGCCACAGATGGAGTCGGGTGAAATGGGGCCAGTCAGCAGCGGGTCCAGATTCTGGATATTCCTTCTAGGTGAGGCCTCTCCCTGCTGGACGTGAAGTAAACTTTCAAGGGTGCTGAGTTAGGCTACTTTGTCACAGCCTTTGTTTCTGGATGCTTCTGTATGTATTGCTTTGACTTAGGAGTTGTGAAAGAAAGTCATTTTCTAAATCTGTGCTTTAAAAGGAAGGCCACCATAATAGAATCCTTTCCATTACATTCTGATGTAATTTTTAGAGTCACGATCTTGGGAGGTGGCCCGTTCTGTTATCGGAACTATTAGAATTTTTTTTTTTTCATACGTTGAGCTGAAAACTGCTTCCCAGAAAATTACTTTTTTTACCCCACTGAGGAAGTAAATGCAACATTAGCCTTTCTTCTCCAATGCATTAACTGTGATACTAATTTCCTCAACTTTTGGCTCCTCATGAGCTTATGGTCAACTCAGAGTTCCACGATATTATGACAACTGCCACGCTGGCCTGCCCAATCCACTGACTGTACAATCGATTTCTTGAGCCTCGATGCAAGAGTTTATATTTATCCTTATTACTGCTCAAGTCAGTCAAAATAATTTTGAATCTTGATTCTGCCATCTGTCATATTAGCAACTCCTCCAGCTTTGTGTCATCTGAGACTTGTTAAGCATGTCTCCTATTTCATCCAAGTCATTGATTAAAATGTTGAACAGGACGGGGCTTCCCTCCAGGTTGACATTGATCCATTAATCGATATTCTTTGGGCATGAAGTCTCAACAAGCCATGAATCCAAATCGCTCAACTACCCAGTCTCACCACCGATAGTATTTTATTGGTAGTTGCGTGGTTTTTATAACTGAGGCGAAGGAGAGGCTGAAGATGATCAGGGTGTATCACTGCAAGAGCAATAACAGGAGCTGAAGAGCATCTCTATAGGATGTATTTGCTGGCAGGAAACAAAACTGATTTAAGAAAAAAAAGGGAGGGGCTTATTATTACATATAACTGAACAAACAGCTCAGGAACAGATGTGTCTTCAGCCAAATCTTTATCCAGCCTCCATGACATGCTCCGGTCCCCAGTTCTCCAGTTCTTGGCTCTGCTTCCTTCGTGCTGGCCTCCTTCTCAGTCCCGCCCTCCTCTCGAAGACCCGAGCAGCCTTCCGAGACGGTGTGGACTGCAGGATTCTCTGCTCGTAATAAATGGAGAAAAGAGTCTATGGCCCCGAATTCTCAGCAAGAGTCATGGCGTTCTCTCTGACGGGATTGCCTAGGTCGCTGCCTGTTCTTGAAGCAACTACCGTGGCTGGGGAATGGAGGCACAAGTGGGGTTAAGCCCATCGATTCACCCACAGCATACTCAAGTTATGTGACTGAGGAGTTAGGGGGACACACCCCCACACCCAGAAGCTCCTGCTGCTATCCCAGGAAGGCAGGAAAGGCTGGTCTCAAATAAACCAGAAGGCTGGTCTAACTAAAGACCTTTAAGTATCTAGTAAGTACCCAGCAGTTGGCTGGGCTGATATGGTGGTAGGTTAGAGAGGGAGCAGCTCCAACAGGTAGAGGCCACGATCCTCACCTTCAAAGTATTTAATAGCAACTGAAAAATAAGTACTTATGGCTATTAAAACAATACTTCCCTTCCAAATAAAACCCTCCAGGGCAACAGAGGGCAGCAAGTAATCAAGTCCAGAACGTGCGGTGTTCTGGAGAGAGCGTGGGGCTCGAGAAGTCTCTCCCACCGGCTCCATCGTGACCACCTCTGGATGTGTTTATCTCCCAGGACACGGCCATAACTGCCCATGGCCTCAAGGTGGATGACACTGTCTTACCAAAGCCTGGCCTCCTTCACATCTCCCCAACCCAGGATGGAGCTTCTGTCCCCCAGAGGACCACCTCCCACGGGGCTGTGCAGAATGCAGCAAGGTCCTGAGAGCCCACAGGCACACAGACAGAGTTTAGTAGGTAAAGGTTCTCAAACTTCAGTGTACAAAGAACCGTCTCGGAAGGCTGTTTAACATGCAGAGAACAGGGACCCACCCTTGGAGAGTGTGATTCCATAAGTCTGGGCCAGGGCCTACGAACCTGAATTTTAAAATTAACATCCCAGAAGATTCCGATGCAGGTGGTCCCTTGTTCCACCTTGGGAATACATCCTTAGACTCTGAGGGTCCTGTTTCTTAGAATAAACAAAGTCCTGCCCCAGCCATGCAAGCCCCGGATCATTTCCTTTCTCTAGGTAACTAACAATTGGGGCTGCCTCTGGGAAACAGGGACGCATATTGGTAGTCACTACTGGTAGTCACAGTAGTGTTAATAGAAGTATAGCCTTGCACATGGTATGCAATCAATGAATATCTGCAGGTTCTCTTCTTTTTTTTTTTTTTTACTATAATCAGAGTTCTGTTAATATGGGCCATCTGTCAGGACATGGAAGTGCAGATTATATGTTCACACATTAGATATTTTCCTAAAAATTTGCATGCAAAGTATGACTTGTTATAATTTCCCGCTGGTTTCCATTCAACAAATATTTCTCGAGTGCCAGTTAATGCCAGGCTCAGGCTCCAGACGCGGCACCCAAGGACGTTCTGACCTAGCTCTTCATGATGTCCCTGCGGAGCCCCTCACCTCAGTAGGTGGCCTTCCCTTCGCGATCACTGTTTGAGCTCTAGAGTACCTCTTCTCTGAGTCGCATCCTTTTCTGGCAATGCCCTACGAGAATCTGATGACAGCAGTGACCCTCTCCCCAAGAAAAAGAGTGTATATGTGCACTGTATCGGTAAGGACTCTTCTTGTTGGCTGTGTTAGAAAATTCAGACCAGATTTGTCCAGGTTGTTAATTGGCCCACATATCAGAAAACTCTAGAGAACAGGGCTGCCTTCGAGTATGCTTGATGCAGGAGTTCAAACTCTGTCTCTGGATCCGGGTCGTTCTCGCTCCCCACCTTTCAGCTCCAGTCCCATTCCGAGACGGGGAGACAGGATCTCCCTTGGTGGTCTCGAGATGGTTGTGTAACCTGTATGCTGAACAGTCTGAACTAAGTGTGGTGCAAATATGGAAACGTTTTGTGTTTCCTCCAATTATTTACTTTAAATGTGCTCTGACCAACGTCCTTTCTCTTTCCTTGATGATACCTTGGACAGATCTCAAAAGTTTCTGGTCGCTCTTAGACATTAAAAAGTCCAGACCCTTCTGGTCCAGTTTTAACACTTCAACCAATCACCGGAGCTCGAGGGGAATATAACGCTCTCATTGGCTTAGACCCGGGTCACTCACTCCACCCTGGATTTGGTATCTAGGCGGAGCCTCAGCCTGAACCACTCAGACCTGGAATGAGGGAGGGGTAGATTCTCAAACCACTGTTACTGGAAGTAGGGGGAATGGCTGCTGGGTGGCTAGAAAACAGAGTATCTGCCCCCATACCTAGAAGCCGTAGCCCCCAGATTACAAGCTCCCACTTTCAAATTTCTTTCTATGCAATCACATTCGCCTCTCCTCTGAATTTTTAAATACTGACTTTCCAAAGTCAGAGGGGTAAGCCCGACAGCACCTAGTACTGCCTGCTCTTTTGTACTTCTAAAGGATGCAGACGGCCTGCTCTTGGGTGTTTCTTGAAAAGGACGCGGCCACTTCATATAAGCAGCCTGCGATTTCCACAGAGCCAGTCACTGCTTCCCTATTGGTCAGCACAAAGCCTGGGTTGACAGTCGGCTTTACTGCATCCTTTCTCAGTCAAGATGTGAAATTGTCAGTGGTGAAAGTCAATAACTCGGGTGCTGGCTTTTAGCAGAACTGAACTTCCAGCACATACAAGGCACTCGAAGGTCTTCCTTTACCACTGGGGGTAACTTTATACCGGTTTCACGGCTCGCACATTCCGACCGCTATTCTCTCTCACCATCTCTTTTGACCCAAAGTGGCCCTGATCGCCTTTCTCTTTACCGGGTCTAGATTTCCATTTCAGTTTATAATAGTTATAATCTTCTTTATGCCTCTAAACTGCTTCATTCCCAGCCACATGTTTTCTTCCAAATCATCTGGCTTTGGAATTCTGGCTTCCTTCCCCTCCGCTCACTCCACCACCAACATCCAGCTTAAAACCTTCTTTCTCAAGTCACCCAGTCTCTCGGAGAACTCGCTCTTTTCCCCATGTTCTCTGAGTCACATGAAAGAGGAGGTACGTTCATGAAACTCAAGAGGTGGGGAGAAGGGAAAGATCTGTAGCACTTGTACCACTCGTAAAATTGAGAAAGGACACCAATTATTTAATAAGACCTTTGTAATGTAGATGCTTCACTGTGTTCTCCAATATCTCATTCTGAAAAGGATGAAAAAAAAAAAAAAAACTTCTTTCCATATAAATGGTTTTCGCTATAGCTTTAGCGCTTTGTGTTGAAATTATCGACTTTTGATCTGGCTAAACCATTCTCTTTTCTTCTCTTTGGTGCCAAACTGTGCCAGCCAAAATTTATGACTCATTTTCCTTCTGCCTAATTGTTGTTATAAATCTGTGCAGAACCCAGTTATAAAT